TTCTTTTTTTTTCCTCCTTTTTTTTCCCTTCTTTTTTGTTTCCCTTCTTATTTTTGACCCTTATTTCCCCCCCCCCCTGGATCCGCCACTGTCTTGGATATTGAATTAAATTAAACGAATTTCTCAATGAGGGAGGGGGACGCGATTCCGATTAATTTCTTTCGATGAATAACATCATCAATAACATCCACTCCCCCCAAAATAAATTAAATTAAATAAATGAATAATATACATCTATATTCTTAGCTGAACTCTGTCTAATGGCGATGGTGCGGGTAGAAAATAATAATTTTTTTACTGAAATAATTTTCACTCTGACAGTACTAGTTGTGAGAGTTCAGTGGCCATCAACATTTTCTTTTATATCGTTTAATTGCAAGACACCATGACAGTTGCAAAATAAAGCGCGGGTGTTTTAAAAACGTTTGAAGGAGGCTGTGAAAAAATGACATTTTAAAGTAACTCGACTGTCAATCATCAACTAAAAATGGAGGCTGATAAGCTCATCATCAGAAGTAAAACCCCAGATGGTGTATTAAGCTTTGATGAATATGGATTTGCTGTGTTTTCAGAAGATCAAGCGGACATTGAGCGAAGCCACAACTACACCAGGTAAGCTCCTCCGACCCAACGGCATGCTCAGGCTAGCGCTAGGCCTCGACTCGCCCGCTTGGCCCGGTCAGGGGCATGTATGTCGGGTGAAGTGGATGAGGTGCAATGCAGCTGTTGGCGTTGCCTGAGCTAGCTGAGCTGTGCAGCTGCAGCGCTGACGGGTTCAAGAATGTACCCAATGAGAAGCATCAAAATGGATCATGTGTGCACACATTATTTGTTTATGCACAGGCCAGGAACCAATGGCAATGCTTTTTTAACTACAAAACCAGTAGTAGGGACGCTGGTCCGAGAATGAGGATCGTCCTAATAAACGAGGATATCCTCATAAGCGCGGACAAAATGCGTCCTCTTAAACAAGGATCGTCTGCATTTTCGCGGACGTTTTTTTTCATCGGCGCTCTGCGGGTTTCGGGTTACCGAACCGCCCGCTGGCAATGCCAAATTTGGATTCCCCAGAGGAAAATAACCCTAGAGGTCTAGACTAGTTGACCATCTACTTTTATGGGTTGTCCGTCTTCCCAAGGATTTATTGCTCGTAGTGTGAAGGTCTCTGTACAAAGTCATTGTAAAGTAAAATGCATCAAGAAAATCATCCCGGAATCCGTTTTTTGCATCGCCAATGTCATGATGTGCCGATCAAAAATATGGAACATCTGCTTTTTTGCAGACGATCCTTGTTTTTGAGGACGCATTGGTCCGCGTTTACAAAGACGATCTTCGTTTATGATCGAAGACGATCCTTATTCTCGGACCAGCGCCCCTACTGAAAACGTGCCCCAAAAAGTTGTATAAATCACGTCATGTCATGCACGTCAATGAAATTTAAGAGAAGTCGCACTCATGCATTGCACAGTTTTTTAACAAGGCTATGCTGTTGCGATTGTCTGTGTGTTCACTTTATTTCAATGTTATGAAGATTGTGGGGCAGCGGGAGACATATTCGCCTTGCCAGGCGGATGACTGAAGTCTGTGTTGTTTGTACATGCCCCTTCCTTGTTCATAGACGCAGGTTATGTCAAGTGGAAAACACTCCGTCCCTCGGATAGGACGTTAAATAGAGGCCCTGTGTACAGGAGAGTCACCACCCTTGCACGTTAAGAACCCATTGCACTATTTGTATAAGAGTAGATTAAGAGTAGGGGGAAAGCCTGGTGTAATGGTCCACCTGCACACCCCAACCAGGCCGAGTATATGGCATCTGCAAGAATCTTCAGTATTGAAGGAAGCAGATTATCTTGAAGAAGAAGAAGAGGTAGATCTAGATCTAAGATATATTAGAATCTACACCTATTTTATAAAACGAATATACTAGACTACAATGCATGTACACAAGTTTTCTTGAGTGACGTTATGGCACTGCAGCGCTATTCGGGTATTCACAATGGCACAAAATGCACTTGGCTGCACCTCATGCATTTCATTGCACCATTGTGAAAACACTCAAGCGCTGCATCGCCATAAATAACGTCCCTCGCACCTGTGTATTATTTGTATATCACCGCCCGAAACCCACCGTCGGTATGCACTGGTATTGTGCAGTGGTTTGCCGTGAAACGTGTTAGAAAGTATATAGATCTAGATCTACTGTTGTCTTCATTTTTAGGACAAATACTCCAAAAGAGATAAGAAAATTTACACGAAACAGGTTAGAGAGATATCGACTTTTAAATTATGACCATTATTTGAACAATTGTTGAAGATTTAATTGTCCATAAGTCCGTACTGTCCATTTTCAACAGGATATTCCTATAATCTTAAACCACAACTTTCAGACATTCATGATGTGACCTACAGTGTACAACTGTACTTGTAGTATGTTTATCCTTGTTTTTGTTGTCCTCTTTATATTCTAAAGTAGCTTGGAGAATCCATCTGATGAGCACCGGTTGGCCTGGGAGAGGTACGTAGCTGACTGGCCCAGCTCCTACATCAACTCCCCCAACAAGTTGAGATACCTACTGCGTAAGGGCACGCCCAGACCGCTCAGACCAATCCTGTGGGCCAAGCTCCTAGGGTGTGAACAGCAACAGAAAACATCTTCATTCAGTTATTCGGTAATTACTCATTATTCCTAAGTATCATTTAAGGAGGTGTTCACACTTCTAAAAGCATTGCTTTTAGTGGACCTCTCTGCTCTGTTTCCAACATGTATTTCTACATTTGTTGTAAATGTTTATAATTGATTGGTAATGTTTTGTTGGAAACATGAATAAATTGAAATTGAAATTGAATGGCTGCTGAAGTAAACTATCTCTAAGAAACTGTAGTAGAGTTCACAGCTGTAGGAAAGTCAAAACAATTTCTCTGTGGAAAACTAATTTAAACAAAATTAAAAAGCAATTTAGAAGAGAGCTACATGTATGACATGCTCTAAAATGTGTACAGCACTAGTCAACCATAAGAAAGCTTTGGAATATCAAACAAGCTTAGTAAACCAGCCAGGTATAGGGAGTTTAGGGTGAGATCGGGGGCGGGGGGCACTAAACAACAGAGTGGCCCCTGTATTTTGTATGAATTTGAACCATTGAAAGGAAACAGAGCAATTATTAGTTTTCGGCGGAGACAGGCTTGAGTAGTAGCCTCTATTATTATTGTTGATCTGTTCATGTGCACTTACATGTTTTTGACATTAGCTTTGGGGATCACAGGTGGGACATTTGATTATCTGGCACATGCATCTTACTCTTTGCCTTTGGTTATAGCTACAACAACATAATAACACCCAGGGAATAATTTTCCTGGTATCGCATCGCAATTTGCTATGCATTTTTGCATGACTGCTATACAAAATATCTTTTGTGTAGCAGTTTTCTTCCATAGAAATGTACAGAATTGCATTTGAAATATTTATCCATCGGCTGAAATTGCTAATCAAAAATTTTGAGGAAAATTATTCCCTGAACACCTTATGGTATTTAAGAAGATCCGTTTCAATATACATGTAGTCATGTACCACTGCCAAGCAATGTGCCTGTGTGATGTACATACTGTATGAACCAATCACCAATGTTTTTTTTTTTGGGGGGGGGGAATATTGTGGGTCAAGGAGTTTATCCCCATAATCTCCAAAATGTTGTCAACTCATACTAACCACTGTAAAGAAAAGAATCTTCTTTTGTTGAGAACATGGCCAGCACAGAACAAAGTTTGAGTTAGATTTGATGCTCAGGGTTTTATGTTATTCTTTATTTCCTTAATACTCCACATATCCAAAGAATGCAGGGTAAACTATTTGCTATTTTAGTTGAGGTACACTTTCTTGGTAGTCAGGCAAAAGAAACCATCACACTGTCATATCTGACCTTTGACCCACACAGAATGTGTAAAGGATTTAGGGTTTTACGTTATTCTTTATTTCTTCAATACTCGGTATCCAAAGAATACCGGGTTAAGTTTGTTCCTCTTTAAGTTGCTTTTTTAAAACTTTCTTAGTAGTCGGGCAAAACAAACACTCAAACCGTCATATCTAACCTTTGACCCCTACAGGAGTGCGTACGGGCTGTGCGTTCCCAGATGGTTGAGCTTGGCATCAGTGAGTACTGCTTCCACCCCCACCACCAGGTACTGGACGGTGAGGATGAGGAGGATACTGGTAGACTAAGGGAGGAGGAGAAGGAGAGACATCACCCGGCCAAGATGAAGCATCTCATCCCCCCGCAGATCCTCAGACAGATTGTCGTCGATCTAGGTGAATTCCTTCTGCCTTCCTGCCAGGATTTGCTTAGCCTTATGCCTCAGTTACACCTTTGCGTATTTGGCTTGCGTATTTATGGCAAGCCGTTTTAACATTTATTCCTTTTGCTTGATATCAAAAAATGAATTCTTGCTTACAACAGAAAATCATTTCTTGATATCAAGAAATAGGAATAAATGTTAAAACGGCTTGCCAGAAATACACAGCAATACGCAAAGCAAATACGCAAGGGTGTGACTGAGGCATTAGGGCCAAATTGAGTGGAATGCACTAGTGGCTTCCAAGGGATGGTGTTGGAGGGCTATTAAAGATGTTTTGCAAGTTGCAAGTATTAATTCATTTACATAATTGATTACCCTGGTTGCAGGTTCCCTTGTCAATGTGAATGATATTAGCACATGGTTAAAGTGGCTCCAAACAGAAGATCTATTATTTTGGTTAGTGTCAATTTATAGTCTAAAATAATACTTCTCATGTCTACATCTTACTTCTCTCTCCACTTGTCATTTCTCCCCTCACTGTCTATCTGTCCGTCTGTCTCTCTCTCTCTCAATCTTACTTTCATCCCTCCCTCCCTCCTACTCCTTCTCTCCTTCTCTCCCCCACTCACTTCCCCTCACTCCATGCTTCTGTTTTTGCACACAGAGCGTACATTCCCCACTCATCGTCTCTTCATGGGATCCAAACCGGAGGCGAAGGAGGGGCGTGCATCTCTCTTCCGGCTTCTTAGTGTCTATGCACTGTACAACCCATCAGTGGGATATTGCCAAGGTATGCCTTTATGTAACCAGGGGGATGTTTCACAAAGACTAAGATCGACTTTATGTTAGACTTAACTATGGCAGGCCGTTCATGCCACTTTGCTCTCACCATTTACTGGCATTGGTCTCACAAGGGACATACAAATCATGGTCACAAATCTACAGAATTTAAATTTTTTGATAATTCATTAATAAAGGAAAATATTATCTAAAGATCATATTTGAGAGACCAATGGTGAGAGCAAACAGTGGCATAAACTGCCTGCCATGGTTAAGTACAACTTAATGTCGATCTTAGTCCTGTGTAACACCCCCCAAGTGATCATTTTATATTATTTAAATAGTAAACGATTTGTATCCCCTTTGTCAAATGATATGTTCAGGTGCTTTCTGCTTGACAATCCTTGTTCTTTTTGAAGGTATCCTTCCATCTACATGTATGATTTCGCCAATTTGTGTATTTATGACCTTTGTATCATGTGTATGGATGAAAGATAAATGAAATTGTAACTGAATTAAAATTGAAATACGTGTATCATATTTCTGCACAAAGATTCAATCAGTTTAATTTTGGCCATTACCAGAATTGGGTTATTGATGTAGAAAAATAATCGTGTACCTGTTACAGCTCATTTTAGGTATGTTATTACCAAAGAAAGTGTCTGACAGTGAAGTCTAGAAAGTAAACAGGTTTCCTTGCATAATTTGATTACTAGGACACCGCTAACGCTTAAATTTCACAGATAGGACATACATGACATATTCATAAATTCCTTCAACGTTCTACAGAATTCGATTTGGGCTACAAAAGGGATATACTCCCTTTAAATACTATCAGTAAATTCCTGGTATTACAATGCTGGACTAATGCATGTATTGTGTGATTAATATATTTTCTTTTCTTTTACATATTTTCTGCCAATCAGGAATGTCCTATTTGGTAGGCATGCTCTTGATGGTGATGAAGGAGGAAGAAGATGTTTCTGGGCCATGGTGGCGCTCTTTGAGAAACCCAAGTTCCTTGCCGGCTACTTCGATATGAATCTCAAAAGGTTAATAGCTTAACTTTACTTTACTTTAGTTTAATCCAGCAATGCTATAGGACTATACCTGTTATCGATCGTTGATGTCTTCTTCAGAGGTTATAAATTATTCTTGTCTTTTCATATTAAATAATTTGATAACTGGGAAACGTTTTTAGACCAGTATTTGTCTAGTATATTCTCAAAACCGTTTACAGAAGTTGCTGACATAATGTTTTCAGGAAGACTGTTCCACAAATCCACAATTCTGCTGCTAAAGAAATGCTTCCTCATATTTAGAGAAGAATGTTTTGATATTCTTATATGGAATTAAGAGGTGGCTGAGTGATGGAGCAGTGGTCTCGTAACCGGGAGGACCCGGGTTTGAAATCAAGTTAATGCGCTAGTGCCCTTTGGTAAGGCCTTAATCCGCATTACAAAGTCCCTCAGAGAGTACTTTAAGCTGTCGCGCATTTACATGTAAAAGCATACACATGTTTTCTTAGCAGTCAAGTAAAACAAACCAAACAAGCAATTAATTTATTTATAGACTTAATGACAAATGAATAACCCAATTCAATATATTTTAGATGAAAAACTGATCACATAAGAGAACCAGACCAAGAAATGCTTGTTAGTCTTTTCTTTAATTGTGAAAGTATTGATTCACTACAGTACAGGTCGTATATAAATCAGTGAATAAATATAGCATTAAACAAAAAGGATATTTTGCAAGTGGTCCAGCCTTTCAAAAGTGTAATTATATAAAATAAATGAATTACAATTCTAAATTTGGGAAAATCATGCACATTGCGGTTGTCATGCTGCACAAATGATACGTATGAACAACCTGAAAAATGTTTCATGTTCCTTTCTCTTTTTCCAAGTAGTAAAAACTTACTCCTACATGTAATTGTAAACTTGATTATAAAAAAAACATGAATGAATAATATGTTTATTTTTTTCTTTTAGAATCCAGAGCCATGCTTCTCTATTTCAGAAACTGCTTGGTCAGCGCTTTCCAAGAGTGGCCAAACATTTTGTAAGTTTTAACGTCAGAAATCTGTGTGTTACTCTACATGCATATACGTTTGTTAGCTATTCTGAATAGTCTATCTCTATCCCTCTCTGTCTCCTCATTCTGCATGTTTGTCAGCTATTCTGTTTGTTTGTCTCCATCGCATAGCCCAAGCGAATAACTTTGCACTCCTCAAAATGAGCAACTTTATCCAAGCCCAAGCCCAAGTAATGGGCTGATAGCATTAAAATTGAACTTTGTAAGGCAAGCACAGGCAGTAGTAAAGAAAAAAAAAATCTTACTACGATGTCACAGATATATAAGAAATATTGAGTGGATTTAACTGTTATGTGTATTGCTCTTCATCGATTTTAATGAACATGATCATATTTTTATGAGGGATGAAAAGACTTGTAATTTTTGTAAGTGATATTCTTCAATAACAACATGAGGTCTTAGGTTATAATCATGATATTAATTCAGGTACTCTTTAAAAATCCTCAAATTTTTGTATTCCTTTTTTAGGTGTTGTTTTCTTACTCTTTCTATAGAATTCTCTTTAAGTGTTCAACCCCTGATGTATGTCACTCCCTGGTTAATGTGTCTCCACAAATCACTTCTACTTTTTCATTGTGATATTCTTAAATGAAAACAGGAGGTTTTTGTTATAATCATAATTCAGATATCACTCTTCAAACATCCTCACAATTTCTACCCCCTTTTCTTGTTTTTCTGTAGGATTCTCTTGGTGTTCAACCTCTGATGTACGTCACGCCCTGGTTTATGTGTCTCTATACATCCCTACCATGCTGGGATACAATACTAGCGATCTGGGATCTTATCCTCCTGGACGGTAAATAATCTACTATAAGCTATATGGTTAGGGACCTTATGCCTCAGTCACATCTTTGCGTATTTATGGCAAGCTGTGTATTCCTATTTCTTGATATCAAGAAATAATTTTCTGTTGTAAAGCAATGGTAATTCTTGATATCATGAATTCGATTTCCTGATTCCAAGATTTCATTTTTTGATATCAAGAAATAGAAATAAATGTTAAAACGGCTTGCCATAAAAACGCAACAATACGCAAGCCAAATACGCAAAGGTGTGACTGAGGCATTAGCGGGATTTGCTGGCACAAAAAGACATGTCCCGTATACAAAGGGCAGAATGATTTGGAATGTCAGTGAAGTAAATGGGAAGTTGGTTTTGATAAAATCAGAAAAATGAGAGAAATGAATTACGAAAGTTTGAGCAATTTCAGATGAAAAACAGGAGAGTTATTAATTTATGAAAGTTGCAATCAATCAAATAAAATTGTTTGCTGTGTGAAGACTTGGATGCCCGTTATTGGTATTCCCACCAAGCCTGGTGTTCAGTGAATAATGCCCTTCTGCATATGGAAACTGTTGAGACTCTCTCCCTTTAAGTTAATGTGTATGTTATGTATGTTTTGAGTCTCTCTTTCTCTCTCTCTCTGTCTTTAACTCTCTTTCTCTCTCTCTCTAACTCTCTCTCTCTCACTCTCTTTCTCTTTCTCTCTCTCTCTCTCTCCAGGGGTGACCACCATATTCCGAGTCGGCCTCTCTCTGATTGACATCCATCAACATGTCATTCTTGCAAACACCGATCTCACCAAGATATTACCTCCCCTGCTGCACCCAAAGCCTGATATGTGAGTGTGAACAGTGCTCTTATACCTTATTGGTAAATAGTGTTGAAAGCAAGCGTTGTTCAGACTATGTACAATTGAGTCTATTATAAAAATCTTCATCCAAAGCCTGATACATGTCTGTAATTTTTAACAGTGCTCTTATACCTTATTGGTAAGTATTGTTGAAAACTGGCTTTGTTCAGACTGTGAACTCTCTCTCTCCTCCTCCTCCTCTCTCACTCTCACTCATCCCTCTTTTCCTCACCCTCATTGTTTATTTGACTCCATTCATCCTTCAATCTTTGTTTCTATTATGGCAAAGACCATCTCACATTTGAACTGTTATACTACTGGCCGTCTTATAAATTGATAATAGTATAATGGTGGCTTCCTATATAGCGCTAATGTACGTCACGCAGTGTCTCTACTGGAGCTCTGACATTATTACCTTGGTCATAGCTGGCGAACAAGTAGCGCTCTAGCATATCATCTACTCATCTACACCTGGATGGGGAGGGGCATAATGGGATCAATGTCTTTGCAAAGGACGTTAGTACCGGGCTAGGATTTGAATCCTCAACTCTATGATTGAAAGTCAAATAAATGAACCACCTGGATCCACAATACATTTTTTGAAGAATCAATTACAAAGTGTTTGCCATTGCTTTTTATTCTTTTGACTACAGGGTGTTGCATGAAATCCTCATACCAGCTGTATGGAAGATGAACGTAGAGAAATGGGAGATAGAGACACTCCAAGCTATAGTGGCCGAAGAGGAGGACCCTGTACACTCAGGTATTTAGTTGTAGACCCAGGTCCCTGTTTCATAAAACTTTATATCAATAACAAGTTACAAGCTACTGTTAAAAGCTACTGAAATCAAGGCATCTGATTGGCTGAGAGCAAACTTTATATCAATAACAAGTTACAAGCTACTGTTATAAGCTACTGAAATCAAAGCATGTGATTGGCTTAGAGCAAATTTGTCAAAGAAATTTTGCATTTGTTATAGATAAAAAAAAATTATGAAACGGGGCCCCTGTATCTGAACCATCACTCTTTAGACAATCATCTCCAGTCAATGAGTTCCTGGACAACATACTCCCCAAAGACAATTACCCCCCCCCCCCCCCACCCTCCACCCCTCTTCTTGAAGGAGATGTGATCCTGTGTTTAATAAATTTTCCCAGGAATGCATTTGAGTGATACAGATATTTTCCAAGTAGTAATGAAGGGCGATGTGATCCTGTCCATTTCTGGACATAGCACTTTTAAATGGCGTAGTGCTTTAAAACCAGGCACTTTTACAATTTTTCTTTGGTCTTTTGGGGGGTAAAGGTCAACATAACTATTTATTTTTTCAGGACTCCTCAACCCTCTCTCTCTCTCTCTCTCTCTCACATGGTGCACCCGCAAACCTACTGCATATATTTATTTTGTATGTCTTGTCTGTTATTTTTGACATACTCCTCTTTATAAAAACTACAGTTCGTTGCTTGCATCGCACACTTTAGTCACCTACATGTGAGGCTTGCAAATGGTTAATGTATGCGGGCGTCTACGAAGATAGTGCGACTTTCATTACAACTGGGTCCCTTCTTATACAGAGTTAATATCAATAACGACTGTGTACAAAAGATATGGGAGACTGCAAACTTGCAATTGATTTGAGACCTTGCGATTGCTTGAATCAATCACAATACTATATTAGACGGGGCCCTGCAATGTTTTGTTGTTGTTATTATTATTGTTGCAGGGAAGAAGAGACGTCACCAGGCAGAGAAAACGTTTGGAGAGGTATCGCAGAATAGCAAGCGTATCAGATTAGAAGAAAAACCAAAACCAGGTAAGCTCACAACGTTCCCATTCCCAACGGTAACTTTGTCTCAGATGTTGAAACAAAATCCTGGATTTAGCTCATGCTGCAATGATAATTGTAAACCTTTAGGTCAGTAAGGAACCCCATGACTTTTACAAGCCGATCCCCTGCCTGTTTATCAAGATATTTATGATTGGAAATCGAAACCAAATTTTGCGTTTGCCAAACGGTTTTCATAACACTACAGTCTATTGGGGAAAACGAATCTGGTAAAACCAGTCACTCAAAAGTTTTTCCTTTTTTCAGGCACTTCTTGATCATTTTGAAGCGCAATTTTTTCAGGGCTTCAACATAACACCATATCACAGACACTGATAACACGTAGAGCCAGGGACGTGATAGAGAAGGACTGGAATCAAACCGCTCTCATTGACCCCATGCTCCAAGCCGCCGAAAAGTTATGCGCTAATCTGCAACTGTTGACCAGGTGGTGAGATAAAAGAGCGCATGATAAAAAATCTACCGAAACGCTTATACATGCATTTATTACATGCCGTCTTGATCAATGCAACAGCCTTCTTTATGGCCTTCCGGAGTCGCACATTGCAAAACTCCAGAGAATCCAAAACTCTGCTGCCAGGCTTGTAACACGCACACGTTCTTGTGAACACATCACCCCAGTACTTCGCGAATTGCATTGGTTGCCGGTGACGTACCGCATCATGTACAAAATCTTAGTTTTAACTTATAAATGCATTCATGAATTGGCACCAATTTATCTGCAAGAATTAATCGAGGAATACAAACCCTCACGCAATTTACGGTCATCTTCACAATTAAACCTCGTATCTACTTCTGTGTCAACTCTCTCTTATGGTAATCGCTCCTTTCGCAAAGCTTCTGCTGAACTTTGGAACAAATTACCTTTAAATGTAAAAAACTGTCAAACCGTTAACCTATTCAAAACTAGTCTCAAGACACATTTATTCAAAATTGCGTTCGATGATTAATTATCTATGTTCACTTTGATGTGTATTCCATATGTATTGTTATTTGTAGGTTTATTTGCATTTTTAGTTTTGTATAAGATGTAATTGTATATCAGTCTATTTTGTGTGTATAGCGCTTAGAGACTTCGGTGGTAAGCGCTTTATAAGTAACGTTTTTATTATTATTATTATTATGAAATTTCAGGATTTAGAATTCCTACATCAGAAAATGGTATCACAGCAACTGTTCGCTGTCCCTTCCAATGATTTCTCATCCATTGTTGAATGTGTACAAGTAAAACAAGCGAACACAAACTTGTGTAATTTTATCCTTTTTTAAACTTGAAAAATACAAAAAACACGCGAAAACACGCATTAGCAAACTTAATGTTATTGAAGATTGTAAATCATGGATCAAATAACGGGACATTAAAGCATGCACAAATTAGCGCATCATCCTAAAATATTGAATTTTTGACAGGATGTAATTTTTATTTTACCAACTCTGGCACACAAATTAAAGGAAGGACGGAGTTATAAATTTGAAGATTTGTTTGATGTACTATTCCCAATAAAATTCCCATATAAAGTTTTTGATTTACACTGAAATTTTGCTGGTAATTTAATATTTTGTAATAAAAGTAAAACTGGTGCCTGGCTTCCGAAAGTCCCCGCAGTGGAAGCGCGGTTCGGAGCATGGAACTTCAAAGCCAAGTAGAATGTTACACATCCCATTGTTACGCTTTAGAACTCAAGAATGCGTTTGAATAAATTACAAGAGTTTCGCCTCCTTTTCTTTCACCTCCCTGGTAGAGCCGAGCATCTCAGATTTAACATTGTTAAACGATCCCTTTAAGATCAAAATTTAAAAGTGGCTAAGGTTGATTCCAAGTATTATAGAAAGACAGTTCTAGAGAATTTGTTGTTATGAATGAAGAATATTCCAGACATTTAAAAAGAAATCTACAAATTAATGATATAATATATAATAACTTATACAAGGTACTTCAAACATTCATCAAATTTATGAAACACTTATGGAATGATGATATATTTAGTATCATTCTTTTACAGAGCTATATAAATTTCGACATTTTATAAATTTGTCAAATGGTTGATAGGAAATTCAACTCTTGTGATATTACCTCATTAATTTGTAGATTATTATAAAAATGTAATATTCTTTTTTATGCATCCGTTACGAAGTAGCCGGAGGCATTATGTTTTCGAGTTGTTCGTCCGTACGTCCCGTTCTCGTGATCGCGTTATCTCAAGAACCGATTGATGGATTCCTGCCAAACTTAGGTCATGTACATGTATGTATCTTGCAGAGCCGATGAATTGATTATATTTTGGGGTTACAAAGTCAAAGGTCACAGTGCTCATTACAGTATGTATGCTAAAATAACTCGTGATCGCGTTATCTCAAGAACCAATATATGGATTCCTGCCAAACTTGGGTCATGTATGTATCTTGCTGAGCCGATGAATTGATTAGATTTTGGGGTCATGAGGTCAAAGGTCACAGTGCTCATTATGTATGCAAAAACAGCTTGTTATCTCAAGAACCGATTGATGGATTCCTGCCAAACTTGGGTCATATATCAGACTTGCCAACCGTTCCGTTTCTAACGGAACTGTTACGTTTTTTAAGTTTTTAGAGCCATGAAAAACGGAACGTTCCGATTTGGGGGAATTATATGTAGTATAAATACCAGTTGGCTTTCCATAGTTTCGATCTGATGAGTCCTGGAAGGATTGTATTGCGCAAGATGCGTGCAGCATGCTTGTTGCGCGCCACGCTGATCTCTATTTACCGCGTGTAATAATGAGCCCTCATGTGCGTAGAGTGCCCATAGAGTACCATGCACAATCCCTCGGTCATAGGCACCCATAGAGCTATTAGTATATAGCTCTATGTGGGCACAGCACAGCGTGCACGCGTCGCGCTAGCACTATCGCTCATGATCACCGCATGACTCCGGCCGTATATGCGAGATACGTATTTCACGCGCAGTGCACAGTGCAGTTGCAGCGTATGGTAGGATTTGTGATGTGCATTCCGTTTTCTGAATTTCAAATGTTGGCAAATATGATATAAGTATCTTGCAGAGCCAATGAATTGATTAGATTTTGGGGTCACGAGGTCAAAGGTCACAGGGCTCATTATTTATGCATAAATACCTGGTGATCACATCATTAGAACCGATGGACGAATTACCATCAAACTCAAGACATGCATGTATCTTGCAAAGCCAATGAACTGATTAGATTTTAGGGTCATGTGGTCAAAGATTAAAGGGCCATACATGTATATGAAAAAATAGCTTGTAATCACGATATTCTGAGAACCTCTTAATGGATTACTATTAAACTTGAATTTGAAAAATAGCTTCTGTTTTTGTTTGTGAAATCGCTCTTTGGCGGAGGCATCATTTTCGACTGCACGCAGTCGAAGTTCCATCTAGATTCTTCTGAATTGAAAATTCTCTGTAAATGTCATTCCATAATTCTTGGGAAGTGGCCCTAATCAAGGCCATGCAAGTATTCCTTTTAATAAATGTACAAAATAAGAAATAACAATTTAATTGCCCATACCATAGTATTGTCGTTGCAAAATATTCCTTATACAATAATAGTGGAAACATTGAAGAAGAGAAACACAAACCGTGTATAATGCACATACAAATAATAGTAATATGTCCATTTATATAGCGCAGCTACTATATGAATATACTCTACTGCGCTTAATAGACAGTACCACAGTATAACCCCGACTGTTGCTGATCCTCCACGATAAGGCTTGAGCATTTAAGGAATTTTCCTACCAGGTACCCATTTACTTAATCTAGGTGGAGAGTGGCAATTTTCTGACAAATGTAGATTAATGTCTTCCCAAAGGATATGAGTGCTGTGCTGTGACACGAACTAGGAACCATGTATCCACTAGGCCAGGGGAGCTTTTCACAAAGCCTTTTGTCAATGACAAATTACAAAAATCAGTGACAAATCTGCTGATAACTAATCATAAGCAAGGATTTCAGTAGCTTATAACAAAACTGTCATTTGTCACTGATGACAAGTTTTGTGAAATGCCCCCCCCCCCCTTGACCCATCTACATGTACATACATGAACATAGATAGATGAATGAAAATACTTCATACCTTTAGAAAGATCTCTTGAATAAGATTTGATACACACAAAAATAGGTACATATGTCATAAGATTTTGTCTTGCTATTTCACAGCCGCGACCAGCAGCTTCTTCCAGCGAGTGATCAACATCTTCACCCCTCAAAACCAGAGAGACAATGAGCTTCTGGGTCAAGGAAGTTCAGTTGCGACCTCCCGAGGTCAACATCGCCAGGACGCAAGACACAGCCACCGGCTGACGCAGAAGGGACCAGGAGCCGCACGACCCGCAAGGCATCGTACCAGCTCCAAGGGCAGAGAGCTGTCAGAGGGAGGGTCAGCTTCAGGGAAAGCGATGAAGGGTGGTTCTGGGTGGAATGCTGCATCCAAGGAAGATCTGGCATCATCCAGGAAGAGGATGGAACAGGATGATGGGTGTGAAGCACAGGAGAGATGTACCAGATCTGGGTTTACTGCATTGGGAAGCGGTCAAACAAGAAAGGAGAGTGCCATGACGGATACCTCAAACTCGGGTAGGAGACGTACACCTAGGAAGGTTCCAGTTGAAGAAGACAGAGTGGTCTTCAAAGGTCTCAGACAAGTACCGCTGACACCAAGATCAGCTGGAAGAAGCAAGCTGTTTGGTCGCCTCCATGCCCAGGTCTTTGGTAGCGAAGAGCCCCAAGGGCCACCACTCTCCCACCCTCTTCAGGATCCGGCATCACCTGAACGCCGGCGTAGGACCCCTACCAAAGCTAGACGTAGTCTTGCCAAGTCACCGAAGCAACAGCAGAGGACATCTCCACGGGTGTCGACCAGATCTCAAAGACCACCATCACGCAGTAGCTGGTTGTCGCCCTACTGCAAGCAATACATGGTGAATCCTGCTCACAAGGCCCGCCACCAGACTCCACTTCAGAAGCTACACCATATCAACAACGCAAAGGACCTCCACCTCAGCCCACCAAGAAGCGCAACTCCGGAACTTGATTTTGACCACGTGGCCAGTCCCATTCGAGGGACACTGGACAAAGAGAACAGTCCGGCCCAGACCGTGTCACTGGACGGTCAAGTAAGATCAGCGCCCTCTATGGAGAGCCTGGAGTCAACTCCAGATGGTGTCCTGTCTGTTCTAGGTGAACAGAACTCACAGGCATGGAGAGAAATGAGGTAATGGTGTCCTTTTTTTACTTCATTTGAGAGATTAATGAACACCAATAACATCACCTTCATTGTTACAAAAGCATCATGGTCATTATTATTATATAAACTATTTTGATCCAGCTATTTTATCTCAAAGTTAGAACTAAAGGGTATTTTGTAGGCACCGACCAATGTTTACTATGCAACCACTTATGTGAAGTTATGAACAAAAAGCTGCTTCATTGCTTTCATTTTCTTGGGACAATAAAAATCATTTCACTGAATTTAATAATAATAATACATATGATTTATAAGGCGCCAAATCCACTTGACAGTCAAATGCTCAAGGCGCAAGATGAAATACTCTAGAATACCAACCGAGAAATTGACTGCTACACAAAATGCATAAAAGTAGAGATGGATGTAACTGTAGAAAGTGTTGAAATAATATTTCATATAGAAAATTGGAATTTGTAAATTTCACAGTGATTCTATAACATATTTTCAAAGATATTTCCAACTTGACAAAAGTTTTTTCTTTGCCTGGCCTCAAAAAAGTCCTGTATACACAAATTTGTAAAAACATACATGTGCAGAAAAGATTGTCTCTGACCGACAAAACAATATTTTGGAATCTCCAGATCCCCTCTGTCCGAAAGGTACTCCACGCTGAATGGGAATAACAACTCGCTGTTCAAGACCCCTTCGCACCCCATGCATCTGAGGCCCAAGCAGTTCACACCTGGCATGTACAGCGCAACCAAGACACCTAGAAGTGAAGAGCGCCACCTAGTGGGCTGGCAGAATCCAATGAACATGCCGTCAGCGAGGAGGCTGGTCTGTCGGTAAGAAGTGTTTGTGGTACTTGATAGAAATTTGGTTTAGCTTATGATTTGGTTTCTGTTTGTTTTTCTTTCTGTTTTCCTTAGTTTATATAGTTCTTTAATTTTGATTTTGATTCATTTGTTACTTTTGTTGTTTTTGTTGTTTTGTTTTTGTTGTTTTGTTTTTGTTGTTTTTGTTTCTTTTTTTCAGGGTGGAGGATTTTGGAAAATTCCTACACTTATGATAATGACAGCTACAGTGAGCTGCTGTGTTTCCACAATTAGAATGTCTTCTCTCTCTCTCTCTCTCTCTCTCTATATATATATATATATATATATATCTCTCTCTACCTCTCTCTCTCTCTATCTCTCTGTCTCTCTCTCTCTGTCTCTCCCTCTCTTTCTCTCTCAATTTGTTTCCATTTTGTCTGTTTCTCTCTCTTTTTCCTTGTCTCCTTTCTCTTGAGGTTCTGGTAATTGTTATTCTATTAAAAGACAAAATGGCTCAAGTTAATTCTTAACAGCTTGCCATGCAGATAATGGGTTGGTTAGACTAGCAGAATATACTGTAATGCGTGTCATGAAGACAACTACATGTAGGCTTAGTTGATTGTAAAGTATATGGACGATATAGACGTGGACATCTCCAATTTTTATGCCTCCGCCACCGAAGGTGGTGCCGGAGGCATCATGTTTTCGGGTTGTCCGTCCGTACGTCCGTCCGTCCGTCCGTCCGTCCGTCCGTCCGTCCGTCCGTCCGTACGTCCGTCCGTCCGTCCGTACGTCCGTCCGTACGTCCGTCCCGTTTGACCGTTATCACAATATCTCAAGAACCATTTAAAATTTAAACTTAAGACTCGGGAATAGTATTTATCACCATAGGAAGACGATCTGATTAGATTTTGGAGTACGTAGGTCAAAGGTCACAGGTCACAGAGGTCAACTTATGAAATTCCTTGTATTGAGTTTGTTAGCGCGATATCTCAAGAACCATTTGAGATTTAAACTTCAAACTTAAGGATAGTATGTATCACCATAGGAAGACG